ATTTCATGTTTCGCACATCACATGGAACCATGATCGTAGGTAGTGGAAAGCCAGTGGAAAGCAATCCTGATTCTTAGATTATCTAAAACCCCGGGAGTTGAATTGCTGTTAACACTCAGCTGGAAATGAACTTTTAATGATAAGTCTGACGATTCAGTTCGCCGATTAATTACCTCTGGGTTTGATGATCGGTCAGAATGTCGGTGCTCTACATGTGTGGGACTCCGGTAGTGATACCGAACGGGGATGACTCATCCCCTGATGATAGTTTCATGCTTTCGCAGTCCGGTTTCACAGGCACTGTGCGCGCTGAACTTTTGTGAGAATCAGTCTATTTTTGGAGTTTTATTTTTTTGTGAGTGAAATATCAAATACAGAACATTATGCTGAAGTAGGAGCAAGTCGCTGATTAATAAATTTAAGGTACCTGTAGGTCGAATACTGTACTTACCCTTGACGCATCTGGTAGAATCACGTAAACTTTGAATTATTCTTACCACTGCTTATCCCACTCATTGGACTATAAGGATCGCACAAATGCAGTCGGATTGTGAAAAGATGCAACGCGGATGATAAGTGGTGTAACAAGAATGATAGATATGCGACGAAGCTAAGTAACAAAGGGAGAATCTGTAGATGCCAGGTTGTTGCCATTGATGTTTTGGATAGAACGAAATAGTCAGCCCGGGAGTTGCAGAGAAATAGTGTAATTTCTGTTAGCTAATGAATGAATTTGAATCTAGTCCGGTTATTCAGCTGAAATATTGTGCTGTTAATTCTTTCATTGTATCCTTGTACCATTGTCAAGTGTCTAGTCAAGTGTGCTTTTCAATGTCAGAAATGTGTAGGCAATGGTATTTGGCTGTAAACAATCGTTGTTATTCGTGGGGGCCTCTGCCTCAGCGGAATTTACTCGCTAGGCGGCTGAGGGCCTAGACTGAACAGACTTATGCAATCATTCATTCCAGCATTCACGCCTGAGCATGTGAACGGTTTATCCATCCATTTGGACGTGATTCGCTTCCTTACTTGACCGACCGAGGCCAATTACCACCGGGGTTTGCTCATTTTCGTTTGAAGTTCACACGATCAACGGTCAAGGACATAACGTACCCGGGTGGAGCGGGGGTGGGGTGGGGGACGGTCAGTCAAACCCCACCGCACTAAAACTTTCATCCTCGTTCGGTAACTCACTCAAAAGTACTGATGTTTGTCTAGGAAGAAATCAGTTCACTCCGATGGGACGTTTTTTCAATGGCCCCGGTCCAATCAGTGATGTGTGACAACAGAAGAACCAATCGGTTAGTTAGGTTCTCGTTAGAATGCGATTGGTTGGATTCGTTTCAGCGTTACAGCGGATTCATTTGAATTTTGCGACGGATTCACTTGAAATTGAAAAGATATCGCACGTAACATTTTGTGATTTCACCTGATATGAAATTTTCTAAATGTCTTCGTACGACGAGTGTTTAGAACATGATGCAGAAGGACTACATAAGAAAAAAAGGTTGTAATGCAAATTTTCTTTTCAGTTTTCGTTTTACATTGTGTCATTTATCAATATTAGGGACTAGGGAATTGGGAGTGATCCTTTCTTATCTTTCTCAACTGACATCCTCGGCGAAAATGTCAGACGCATTGGATATAAGCAACCTAATTTACCCGACTACGGTAATCGATCAAGATCAGTTTGTCAAGGATAATGATATGTGACTTCGACTTTTACAAGAAATGCACCCTCGTCTCTGGCGATATACAATTTAGTAGTCCATTATGAAAATCCCCTGGAAAATCGATTGGGCAAACGAATTTTTGAAGTTGTTGATTTTCTTTGAATGAAGTTACTCAACATGACGCCCAATACATCCCGTTTTTCGATAGAACACATTGACCGAAAGTATTTTTTTTTAACTGTGCCACTAATCTCTCTCTTATCTGTAAGATTACCCTCCAGCTCCTACCGTATGCTCATGGTTGACCATTGGATAATGTATCCACGGACTGAGGTTTGTCCAATACCAGTCTGTTCGTACATGGACTAACATATGAAATGTTACAATCGATGGATATAAATGAAATCAGAATGGTGAATACTTCGATTTGGGTCCACAGTGATATTCTCTGGTCGACTTTCTACGCTTTAGTCGAGGGTATCGACCATTGTCGAGTCAGTTGCGGAATAATAAGAACTAATTAAATAACCCTTTTGTTCCTCTGTTTACAAATAAATAGAGGGAAAAACTAGTAAGATTAGAGTGAACCGAAACCGCGGTCTGTTCATATCGAGGAACAAAAACCGGTGTGCGAGTCAGGAAAAGATTACAGATTAGGATTGAAGAATCTAGTATACCAGGACGGACCTAATCAAGTAGAATTGCAATTCATGGTAGCATTAATTCGTCCGACACGATCGGCAACTACCGTCTGAATCAATCTGGCGAGAACTGCGAATTTTTGACATTTGCTGAGGGAATAAACATAACACTTTTGTGAATCTTATGATATTTATTATTTGCTTTTATTATATTGTATGCTAGATAAATTTTCCGGGTGATAAATTACCTGAATTGTCGAATATAGAATGGATGGATGGATTTTGATCCAATTGAAAGATTTGGGTCGCATTATTCAAGTATAAGAAAGAAAATAATGATTCTTGTATAGAAAGTTCCGGACAATAATGTGTTTTCTCTGACAACCTTATAGGACCTTATAAATAAGAGAAAAATAAAACTCTTCAGCGGGTGAAACTAAGAATGCCTGAAATTCACATACTTAGATTGGTTCAAAATCATGCATGCTAGACACGAGCATTTCTGAACAAACTAGTACATGGATGAGGACGCGATAAGAATCGGGAAGCAGCATTGGTGTGAGAGCAGCTTGTACAAAAGGTGTGTATGCAGTAGAAGTAAAGGCTAACCAGAGATATTTAAACAAAGTCTTTCACAAGACGCTTTATATGGGTCAAATAGCTCTTCGAGGCGAACAAATAGGAGAGCGCCAGAAGTGCTTGTGTCGTACCTGTTTGTCAACCAACCTCGTGTTCCTCGCTGGTCGTACAATCGTTGCGTAATGTTTACCAGTTTTCGACTTGCCGACTGAATTAGTTGGTCGAACGAAGCGCTTCAAGGATCAGACATTCCTCCTTCCTGTTTGCCCTAGCCAATACGTTTGCGTTGTTGTTTCTGACTTTGTGGTTTCAAAGTTGAGGCTTCAGGTCAACGCGTCGTAGTGTAGATGTGTTT